GAGCAGACGTACCTATTGACTGCGGCGAGTCCATGTATGGATTACACTTAGAGAAATGGGCTCGGTCTGTGGCCAGCATGACTTCATAGACCTTGTCGGACTTAATAATGCCATTTTCTGGGGATGCAAAAGAGTTTGTGTCACTGTGTATTAAAGACAAATGAACAAGTACAAACACCAGGCGGGAATATCTTACATAATCGTGCAGCAGATGCAAATAGAAATATACAAAAGCTAAACAACACACAGGCAAGAACAAAGTGAATTCAGGGATATTACACAACCAATTATTACAATGAATGGTGTGTGTGGAGTGTGAGATATGATGACTTATACCGTGAGAAATTGTCGACCATCAGAGGAGTTATGTATCCTTTTAAACTCGCAGTGTATTAGAGCATTGTGGGCAATTTTCCAGATCTACGAGTTGAACTGTTGTATGGCAAAATTTTATTTTACACGCTTTGAACTGTGATATGTCTTAATTTTTCACTGGATTAACCACAAACAGAAATTCCTGTCTGGTTATTTCACCCGTTATAGGCACTTCTTATGTCCACAATGCAATATAAAATGACATATGCTGTGATAGAAACACCCAAGACTATAGGAACGGTACATATAAATTAAGAGCAGATAAAAGAACAGCATGAGTCTAAGTACGCAGGGAATACGCAGTGGAAAACACCGACACAGACAAAATATGGAAATTTATGTAGAATGAAAAGGAAGTTGGAACCATGTGTCCAATATGAAAACTGAGAATATCAGAGACGAAATCAGCTGCATATAGGCAAGACACACGTGTGTTATTCACATGAAATGGATTACAAGAGGTCAGGCAGTGTTAAAGTGTAAACACGTGTGGTGGAATACAGAAGAAAAGCTCCCCAAAGAAGCGTTAGTGTCTTCAGAATAATCCCTCATAACAGGTTCCTGTAGCAGCTGGGGCCAAAGGCAGGAACAGCCAACGACAGCCAACGACAGCCAACGACAGCCGGCGCTGCTCTCATTACAAACTCCACTTGCCCTCAGAGCTACGTACTGCTTTAGGAAACATTACAAATAAACTGTACACGCTGCCAGATGGGGACCTACTAGAGATTTCTGAATTTAAAATAACCTGTACTGGTAGATTACAAACTGTCTATTCACAAAGTGGTCTTTGCACGATAATGTTTTCTAAAAAGATTCTTTAAACCGATGCATATTTATGAGCCCAGTCCCAGAACTGGTCCAGGAGGACCCACAAAAAAAAAACAAAGTTGTGAATTAGCATGCATCCTGAGTGTGACCTGCTTAAATCCAGTTTATGCAGACTGAGGGTTAAATTTGAGCCATTCGTGTGTCTAAATGGGTCAGTGTCCAGTAAAGGGAGAATCAAAGTAATGACCACTTCAAGGACAAACAGAATACAAATATTTTACTTAACACCTATATAGAAGCAAATTAAAAGTTTTAATGTGAAAATATGTTCTTGTGCTAAAGCTAGAAAAAAAAAAAAAGCATTTGCATAATTGGCCCAAATCATAAGGGAAAGTTTCTGAATTTGACTTAAAAGCCTTTTGGTGAAAGACTAATTGGCTCGTTCTTGTGGATTTTCAGCATTTTATTATCCTGCATTACAGCTTTGCATACTGATGAGCTTAAACTTCAAAATCTTCTAGGTCTTTTTTTTTTTTATTTCACCATGCACAACTAAAAACATATGGCCAATCATAAACTGAGATATAAAACCACATTTCCTGCCAAAAAAAAAAAAGATAAAAACACAATAATGTGGCAAATGATGATTCTGCTTTCGTTGAAAAGGAAATGGAGCATGACTGGCCTCTGTCCCCAAACCACACAGCTTCTGGCAAAATGCTTGCTGAACTGCGCAGAACATAAATAGCCCTGGTAGAAAGAAGACACACACACACACACACGTCTTCAGATATCCTCACACACAATATCATTTTGTGTGACAAACATTACATGTCTTGAATGCATCCGACCACAGCCTTTCTCCCTTAAACCACACAATGCACTGCTATCTGTGGCATTATGTGGCATTGCTGGCAGCGATCACAGTGGACTTAGTACCCGATGGCAGCAGTGTAGCAGGGTGGTAACGTTACACTGAGTCACTGCCCTTTTTTTGTGCAGCCACTATCGTCAACTAGCAGACAGCCACTGTGACACAGCATGCTGTCATTTCCAATCACTCACTAACAAAGGCACAGCACAAAATAAATAAACTGGCCTTACATTTCCAGCTGCCAGTGTCACGTACCAGTACAGTGAATGGCAGAGAGGGGCAGCTATCAATCAGTCAATCTATCAATGAATGTGGGCAGGGCACTTAGCAGAGCTGTGCCAAATGACGCACATAGAGCTAGCAGGCTAACCTGACGCGAAGCTGCACAAATAACCTCAAACTGCACACAACAACCAGGCAACGTGTGTCTTTTCAGTCAGGTTATTGTTGCGCAGGCATGCATCCGTCCCGCGGCGTAAACGTGGTTTGAGAAAGGGGTGGAGAGAGGTAAACGCTGGGTCAACAACAACATGCCACATAGCTTAGCAACCAGCTAACAACCGCCAAACTAAACCGGGTTTTATTTATTTTTTTGTGTTTTTTTTTCAGGCGACCTGTCCGTGAAGGCGTCGCTGCAGCAGCCGCAGCCGCACAGTGACCCCTGTACTCACTGCGGAGGTTGTTAACAAGCTCTGCGTGGCTGGCTCCTCCGGATTTCCAGGCCATTATTGAACAGACTTTGCGGAGTAAGTAGACAGCAGCTGTCAGTGCCGCGCCTGCGCCAACGGTTCTACCGAGGAAGCTGACGACCTCCAGCGCGAGCGGCGGAGCGGCGGGCACGTCACCAGACATCCAGACACACAACTGGAGTCATTTCACTCAATTAATACAATTTATAATCTTTTTTTTTGTTTTGTTTTTTTGTTTTTTAGAGATGAGCCTTAGCAACGGTTATTTGCACTGAAGGAGAAAAAAAAAACATACAGATTTGCCGCAGTAGCATACGACGGTGGCCGCTGAGGGGAGTGCGACACTTGTTATAGTAAATGTGAGGGGGGGGGCGGTTAATTTTTATAGTTTTGGGTTTTTTTTAACAGCTTTATTTGTCATTGTAATCACATTACAATAGCAATAATTGAACAAAACAAATAAATGATACAGAAAATAAACACACAAATAAAAATAAATAAAAACATGCCAGGGGTCACGAGCAAAGAAGAATTAAATTGGATTAAAGATATTGAAGTGGGAGCACAGTCTCACTGTTTTGATAGCTTTTTTTGTTCTTAGCAGAAGATATCGACTTGAAATACAACTCCAGTTCTTTCATAAAAACACAAAAAAAAAGAGGTTTCACTTTGGCAAATTTACATATTGTGGATGTAAAACTTTGCAAGAATTATAATGAGATTAATTAAATAAAATTCTTTTTCAACTGAAATGTCACTCTTTAAAAAACCAAAAAGCACATTCTGCAAGAGGAGACTAAAGTCACAGAAAATATTATCTAAAATAAATCTACAAATATCTTGCCTTGCTTTGATAGTTTGACCCTACTGCGCCACCGTAGTGACGTGTGAAGCAGCAGGCGCGTACACCCGGCGCTGCTTCATATGAATGCTAAGCTAATAGCAGCGGTTTTAATTTGAAATTGGTCGAGACTGTTTCAATGGAGAGTATAAACGCGAAGTACGTGTCCCAGAAAATCAGTAAAAGCAGATGGCGACCAGTATCGCACTCCTCTTTGCAGCAAGCAGACATCTTTGCGACCGGCTCGTGGGATAACGAGGTCGGCAAGTTGTGAATGTTGTTGTTTTGTGATACATGAGGTCGCCGAACTCCACAGGAAAATCTCTGGATTTTATGTGATTTTTAAAAATTTGCGCACTTACGTGTTTTGTAATTGTCAAAAGACGACTTAAGACGTGTTTTGAATCGTAGGGTGTCATTTCGGCCTTCAACAAGTTCATGGAGAAACTTTACATTTCCTGTAGGGATTGTCAGAGTGAAATAAATCTGTTATTTAAGGCATAAAGTCTGGCTATGTCTGCCAAATAGAGAGAGCCTAATGGTTGGAGATTATGACAACTTGTTAAAACTCACTTTCAGCTAGATCCTATTCTGATTGTCTTTTTTTTCTTCTTAGATTTGAAATCTATTATTTTGTAATATTCTTATTTTGTAATTCTTTATTGTACTTTTTGCACTACATTCTCCTATGCTGCTGTGTCTGATTTCCTCCTACGGGGGATCAATAAAGGAACATCTTATCTATTAAATAACCCAATATGTGTCTGTCACAGGACAACAAGATTTCCTTTTGGTCCATTGGGAGTCATGGGAGTTCTGGCATGGAAGATGGATTTGAAGGAGACCCACAGCTTTTATGTGAACACAAGCATGATGGAGATGTTCTGGACCTTCAAGTAAGACAATCGTGGGAATCCAAGTTAATGTATCAGCCTATATAAGTGGTACTAAAGTAAAGAATATTAAAGTTTCTTCAAGTGTGCAATTGTGGACCTAAAATAAGAACTTGAGGTCAGGGATTGCTGTTGCATAAAAAACCAGAAGGAATGTGACTGATAGTGAATTTCATGACATTGAGAGGGGAATTGTATTTAATATGGAAAACTTGATCTGTCTAATCTGATCTGTATTTGCGGTGAATCAGTGTCTCCGTAATTCAATTAAACTTTGAAGAGGTCTTTTTAAGTATAAATAATAATGTTCCAGTTATTCCATTTGTTGCAGGAAACAACTTGAATTCACAATACTTTACATTAGTGTAAATCAAGAGTGAAAGATCATGCAAATGGTTCATTCATCATACTTCACTATTAATGTAACGTCTTTATTGATTCAAGACGGGCTATAATTTGCTAATTTCACATCTTGTTTTGTCTTTGTTTTGTTTTGTTTTATAGTTTTTGGACCAAGACAGAATTGTCACAGCGTCATCAACTGGAGCAGTCACCATCTTCCGCCACCACCAGAACAGTCAGGTACACACTGGCCGAGTTACGTCTTTTAGATACACAAGTTTCACATTCAGTGAGCTCATCCAGAACCCGTCTTTCTATGAAGACATCAATAATGAGCCTTAAAACACGGGGACAGCCATTCACCAATGAAAATGTGTTTGAATTATAAACACTGTTATTGATATTTAGGAATAGAGCGTCTTTTAAATCCTTCTTGTTCAAGACGATAATATGTTGTCACACACATGGATAAATCTGTGAACTTTGATTAGAGAAACATTTGACCTGATTGTAGCTACGACGTACACTCACCTAGATGAGGCCGATTGCCCAAAGTGAAAGACTTAAGGTATGTTATTAACTTTATAAACCCTTATTTACCCTTATTCAACAAGAAAATGTGGCTAAATTCACATCGACAGACTGGCAGTGTAGTTCAGGGGAGTGAATGTTGAACAACCTGTTTAACTGTATATAACGTTATAACACTGATAGCTCCTCACCCCGTGTGCCAAGGCTGAGTCCTTTCTGCAGCAACCATGGGAGCAAATCTGACCTGTGGCCCTTTGCTGCTCCACTTCAGCTGTCACTATCCATTAAAGGCAATAAAAGCCGCCAAACACACACGTGTGTATATATACTTCATTCATTCTCTGTCTTCACTGCAGACGATATCAGTTTCTCAGCAGTGGCCCAGGGCACATCGTTACCCTAGTGACAACGCTCCCTGTACTGGTGTGGTGTGCAGCAGTCCTGAGATTGTCACAGTTGGTGAAGATGGCCGCATCATCGTCTTCAGAGCCGACCAGGAGGGAGTGATTCGAGTCATAGGTGAGATTAAGATTAAGATGTTTTAGCCAGAAACACCATGTCAGATTAAAACACACAGAGAAGAGAATAATGTCACTAACATGTTTTTATTTTTATGACTGGACTGTTAACCATTGCCAGAGAATGCGGACAGCAGCACAATTCACGCTGTTACTTACCTGAGGACAACAGAGATTTTGACTGTGAACTCTATCGGCCAACTCAAGCTGTGGGATTTCAGACAACAGAGCAACTCACCATCCCAGATTCTCTCCCTGTAAGATCTCCTCAGTTCTAACTAAATTATTACATTTGTAAATGTTTAGGTTTTATCTGCTGTTCTTTTCTTAGTGCATTTTGCAATTTGACTGATTTTGATTATAAGCAAAGAATAGTAATAATTTGTGTTCCCTTCAGGTCAGGAGATAGAGTCCCTTTGCACTGTGTGGACAGACATCCGAATCAACAGCACATTGTGGCCACAGGAGGGCAGGACGGCATGCTCTGTGTCTGGGATGTGAGACAAGGCAGCACACCCTTCTCACTCATGGAGGCGCACTCTGCTGAAAGTAAGGCTTTACTGCGGGCAGAGGATTTTACTTTACCAGATTTAACCTTACAAGTCAATTTTGAAGAGGTCATATATGGGGAAATTAATATTTGTCCATTTGCAANNAGTTTCTCTTTGTTTTTTTCTGTACAGTGTGGGAAGTCCACTTCCACCCAACCAACCCAGATCATCTGTTCTCGTGCTCAGAGGACGGCTCGCTGCTGCACTGGGAGACGTCCTCGCAGTCAGACATGCCCTCCTTCTTACAAGGCAAGTCAAATTATTCTGTCTGCTATTCAGTTTAGCCAGCAGTAGAAGCCATTTGTGCCATAATCCAGAAGATATCAGGACAGGTTTTAACAAAGTTCACCAGCTACGTAATGTAAGCAGGGCTGCACGATATGCTAAAGAAAATCATATTACCTTTTAGATATGATTCACGATTAGTGGGAGTGATTAAAGACAAATACAATACAAATATTTTTAGTGTTTTTGAGATTAACAACGACTTTGTTTTAATTCTTGGTGGAATGTAACTAAGTACATTTACTGAGGTACTTTACAATTTCATGTCAACATCGACCTCTGGCACAGCACAATCATATGATATAAACTGCAGCTTCTATATTAATCATAGGATATGATTAATAGGATAATAATTCATTTATTAGTCATACAACCTGTGCCTTGTATCTTTTGGTTGTCATAGTGACCACAGAACCACTGAGTCAGCTAGCGTGATGCACATTACCAAGAGCTACAAAGCCGGCTCAGCAACATGCTAAGAAACCTACTACCCCAACACAATAATAGTCTAGTAACCATAATAGTCTTACATTAAAATATTGATAGATGTTTTAATGGTTGTTTTCCAGGTGGCAGGAACAGCAGCATGGTATCTCGCAGTGCAATGGCCCCGGCTGGAGGGAACCAGTCCCTCATCAACGCCTGGCTCAGTGGAGACTCTAGTAAAGGCCGTCTGGAGACGACTCACATGCTTCCCAGCCAGACGCTGTCCGTCAACAGTTTGGATGTACTCGGACAATGTCTTGTCTGTGGGACTGACGGAGAGGCTATTTTTGTCAACAGACAGGTCCCAGTTTAAAAGATTTGCCAGTGTACAGGACAAGATGTGGATGAAGATCTGTTTATTTGCTGTCTATTTCAGTTACAACACAGGTTTTATTGTCTCCTTTGACCACACAGGGTGCCATAAATACTTTATGTTCAAAAGTATGTGTGATTTTGGCTTTACTTGTGTATTTGTCTGTCATATAATGTTGCATACACACTATATTTGTGCATTTCTAATGCAGTTGTAGTGATGGATCATGATGGATTAAGGGTTTGTTTGTTTTTTAGATCATTCCAAGCAGAGTGTTTCAACTAAACAGTACTTTTGTATGGATGTAATTTAAAACTGTTTTTGAAATAAATAAATAAAAAGCCTTGACACAAATGTGTCATGAGTCCACTGACAGTTTTGTTTAAAAAGAGAAATCCAAGATTGATTGTGAATACCATAGCTGCAGTCACTATATGCCTACTTTTTTTCTCCCACTAACTTGTCAAATGCTGTGTAGTCACATATAGTAAAAAGTACCACTAACATAAATAAAATGTACTTTTTACCAGTTCATACCAGGGGTGTTCAGGAACAACAGGTGACTACATGTTTCAGAGGTGAAGTGAATCATTATGGAAAAAGGTACAAAAAAAACAAACCAAAAAAAAAAAAGCTTAATCCGGGTAATTTAAGTAAAGTTTACAAACTTCAATTAATAATTCCCCCAGTAGTACTTCCGGTATTTCTTTTCAAATGAAAGTCCGAGCATGATGTGAAAGGCAAATTTTGAGTTTACTGTGACTGAAATTATTCCGGATTTTTTGTTTGGTTTTAATTTAACCGATTTCTTATAGTTGCATGTGTTTGGTATGACGGCTGTTTAGCGTGTTTTATTCTATGACCTGTCGTTTTATTCTATTTTAACAACTGGTAAAGTACACATAAAAATCTGCCTTCTCCTCTGTCTCATTCATTTTTGATCATTGACCATTTCCCCTGGCAAATAAAGTGATTAAATTAAATTAAAAAAAAGAGTATGCAGTTGCAAAACTAGTACTAGCCGTTTTATTAATATACTTTTAATTGTTATGACTGGCGAAAATGTTCAAATTTGAGAGAACTTAAATTAAATCGGTTGTCCCATGGAGTTCCTTTCCTGCTCTTATTGTGAAATCGACAAGCAGCGGAAGCGTGGTGCGTTGGTTCCGTGTGTAGCTTGTTGCTGTTGTACTTGTCATTCAGACATCCCAGGAATTCAACACGACTAGGAGCAAACCAGCTCGGCACAGCGAGGACACTTTCCACTCGAAATCACGTCCCCGTCGCCGAGAAAGGTGAAAGGAAACACCGTCTGTTCTCAGAATAGGAGAAGTGTCGAGGACAGCGGCAGCAACAGACGCTGGTAGGTTGTCAGACGCCGCCAACGGCTAACGGCTAACGGCTCGTTCTCGACCTGTTGTTGAATTAGCCGTTGGCCGTTGGCCGTTAGCCGTTAGCCGTTAATGGACGCCTTTAACGCGCAGGCCGCGGAGGAGCTGCGCCGTTTGATTTCATGCAGAGTCCGATAACCGCGCTCTGCAGCTGTGGGAGACATTTAGGGGAAATGTGGGAAATAACTTTGGCTTTTAATTTCACAACGCTTCTTAACGCAGGAGAATTAGCGTTGAAGTAGCGACCTGTTAGCCCGAGGAGCTAACGACGCTACTAAGTGCACTGCTTCTTGTTTTATGAAGGAATAGTTTCTAATCTCCACCTTGAAGCTTTGAACAACGAGTTCAAATCACGGAGAAATTGTGAAGCACTGAATGAAACTTTTTCTCAGCTACAGGGCATATTAATTCCCGCAATATGCTTCTAATAATCTTCATATTGCTGATGTTTATCTGTCAGCATCTGCTAATTGGAGCTTTCTACTTACATCTCATGTGCACAACCTGTTAGGTAACCTGTCCTCTGCCTGCTTATCTCACACAGGTTTTGTACATTTGTGTGAGCAGCATGCAGACGTGAGGGCAGACAGAGACCCCCTGCTACAACCCTGGACTGAGTGACCTCCTCTTCATCCCCCCTTTGTCATCATACATGCTCTTACATGAAGAGAGGGGAGAAACCCGAAGGATACAGACAGATGAGACCCAAAACGTTCCCCACCAGCAACTACAGTGGCAACAGCCAACAAATGCTGCAGGAAATACGGAACAGCCTGCGCAACCTGTCCAAACCCTCCGACCCGCCTAAAGTGGACATTGGTGGAGCAGGAAAAATGCTTCCCGAGGACCCGAGGCAACAGGGTCGCTGCAGCAACCCCAAAAACCCCTACCACAAGGCCTTACAGGAGATCCGTAAATCCCTGATGCCTTTCGCCAACGGGCCCAGCACCTCAGGCCCCGAGGTGAACAAGCACATGTCTCTGGAAGTCCCGTTTGCTGGGTTTGAGGAGGTGAGGTGATTGTTTTTGCCACCCAGACAGGTTGTTGTGGAGGAATTTCATCTAAGCACAACTCTGTAAGAGAGTAATCACTTGGTGCTCTTTGTTTACGGGGGAATTATTTCAAGTATTAAAGGTATGCGAAGTGGAACGACACGCTCGTACAGGTGACAAGGCAATGTTTCTTTGCTTGTTTTGCAATCCAGGTGTGAAGTGGCACAGTATGCAGTGTAGTAATTTTAGATTTTAACCCGTAACTAACATTTAAACTGTTGGGGAAAGAAATTCAACCATCAGTCGATTCGCTGTGTGTTATAAACTGTTGTTGTAATTGGATTATCATTTTAAAAACACTTTCTAGGTCCACCGTCTCCAGGATTTACTGCCTTTCTCAGTTTCACATAATTATAAACAGAATACCTTTTTGGTTTTGGACTTTTCAACAAAATAAGACTTTCAAACATGTCACTAACTGTGTTCTGACATTTTATAGACTAAACAACTAAAAGTAATAAAGAAAATAATGTACAGATTAATTAATAATAAAAAGAATTGTTTATGCACCCTCTTGCTCATGTAGATGACTTTTAAAGACTGTGTGAGAAATGTAAAAATAATTAACTTCAATAACTTTTTTTTGCATTTAAAGCAGAGCAACAGTCGCAGTATGGGGGCAGTTATAGACTACATGGGTAAGGTGAGCTACCAGGAGTCGATGAGGGAACAGATGGCTGCTGCCAACCCCAACACCACAGGTCTGAAAGCCCCAGGTACGTAACTGTCCACTGGGACTACGTGCTGGGCGTGTTCATTCACTCCTGATATTGTTTGCAAGATTTGGGACATTTGCTTAAAGAAACGACAATACACGCTAACAAAAGGAGAATGAGTCACTGCATCACGTGATGGAGCAAGTTGTCTGGATGTTTTGTTTCTCATTCATAATGAGTAATAGTACGTTGAATTGTATTACAGTATGATGGCCACCATTGTTAGTATTAACAGGGAGACAACTGTTCTGCACCTTTTTATTGATAAAATACAAAAGACAGAATATAATATAAGGAAGTCATGTTATACAGCTTTGTCTTTATTCCTATTGGATTTAATCATACTGAACATACCGAGTTAGAGAGCGCAGCACACGTGTATATTTTACACAACTGTTCGGATGTTCATTTTATTGTTTATTTTATTGTTTTGCTTGTTTTTGTGCGTCTATAGGAGCTCCTCATATCTCGCAGGCCGTGCTGAGGAGGCCAAGCTGGAAAGGTTCTAAGGAGTCTTTGGCTCCTCGACACGGTCCTCTGATGGTGGATGGTATGATGTACCGCTCAGACAGCCCCGGACCGCCTCCCGCCTTCCCACAGGGTCACCCTGCTAACAGCCAGAGAGTCAACCCTCCACTGCCGCCACAGGTGCGCAGTGTCACACCTCCACCAAACCGCGGTGCCATGCCTCCTGCACCGTCCTGGGACAGCAACCCATCAACCAAGCGTTACTCTGGCAACATGGATTACCTTGTGCCCCGCATCTCCCCCGTCCCCCAGGGGGCCTGGCCTGAGGGCTACCAAGCTGCACCACCCCAGAATCAGCGCGGGATCAGCCCGGTGCCTATGGGCCACCAGCCCATCATAATGCAAAACTCTGGGGGGAATAAGTTCACCTTCCCCCCCAGCTGGTCTCAGAGTGGCTCCCCTCAGTCAGACTACATGGCGGGGGGCAGCAGACAGCCTCCCCCCCCATACCCGGTCAACCAGAGCAGCCGGCACAGTCCCACTGACCAGCAGATGCAGACAGGAGGACCTGCGTCCTCTCCTTCTTACGTCAACGGAGGAAACATCCCTCCGTCCATGATGGTCCCCAACCGGAACAGTCACAACCTCGACATGTACAACATAGGTCCTCCTCAGTCCTGGTCCCAGGCTCCTCTGGCCTCCAACCAGCCCCAGTCTTCCTCTGGAAACAGCAGCAACCAGGACCTGTCCCCGTCATGGCAGCACAACATTCCAGTTCGCTCTAATTCCTTCAACAACCACCAGCTGAACGGCAGACCGGCGCACCCATCCAGCTCCCAGCCCTCTGCCACCACCGTCACCGCCATTACCCAGGCTCCCATCCTGCAGCCAGTCAAAAGCATGCGTGTCCAGAAACCTGAGTTACACACGGCTGTCGCTCCCACACACCCTCCCTGGATGCAGCAGGCTCCAGCGCCTCCGGCTGCACCAGCTTACCAGGAGCCCTCAGCCCCTGTAGCTCAGATCCCTGTCGTAGCAGAAGTCCCCAGCTACCAGGGCCCCCCTCCGCCTTACCCTAAGCATCTCCTCCAGCAGCAGGCCGCACCCAGCCCCCCTGCCTACGATCCAGGGGCCAATAAGCTCGGCACGGGCAGAGAGGAGCCTGCTGAAGAGGAGAGCGGCGGCGGCGGCGACGGTTCCCGAGAGAAGACGACAGAAACGGCCGAAAGCGCCGCGGCG